TTATTGTTATAAGTATTTGTTAGTACAGATTAAACAACACACGTTAATTGAGTATTCACGCAAGTTTTCTCTACTGATCATGAAATTGTTGAAGGTACAGTAAAAAATTTCCTTAAAGATCTATACTATTATTTGTCATTACCACATAACTCAAGAACATCTGATGAATGAATTATTTAGGAAATAATAAATCATTGGTTCTTTAATCAATATTAAAAGGGAAAAAAAAGAATAAAATAAGAATATATATACACAAAGGCATTTCGTAAGAACAAGAACACATTTAAGTTGCATAGATTTTATAAGTGTGATATATGTCTCAGGAAAAAAATAAAAAATTTGTTAACATATTCAAAAAATAAATTACTTATATTATTAATGTTTGTTATATGTAATCTTGTATATAAGATAATATAGTGTTTTAGTTTTAATGACTCATATGTTTTAAGTATTATTTTATAAATTCAGTGATATTAAATTCCCGCGCGAAGCGCGGGTGATTTTACTAGTACTTAAAAATAACAATAAAAAAATAACGAGGTTTTGAAACGGTAGCTTGCTCCCGTGATTGAGTATCTTTAACGAAGGTCCGAGTCATATTGGAGAATAAGTGAGAACACTATTGATCCTTCTGTTGGGGGTAGAGTTTAAAGTTAACTACTTGGAGAAAGAATATGGCTTTTCATATTTTAAAAATTAACAGTTTCGTTAAAATTAAAAATTTATATCGGTAATTTAATCGTACATAGCAACCAACATTTCCCTTTCAAATTAGTTTGAAAAAATGGCTGAATTTAATGTCAAATATATATGCATTGTAAAATAAGTTTGTACAAAACTATACCCCAAATTCCTAGCAATTTCAAGGCAATTAATTATTTGACTTTTATAAACTGAGGTTGCAAATTGCAATAACAATGGACAATATAATAAAATTGGCTGAAAATACGAAGGTAAACGTGAAGATTTTTTTTATTTTTTTTGTTCAAATAACAAGTGCATATTAAATTAACCAAGAAGCAAATGTTACAAATTGCTATTTTATAAGCAATTTATAATCGATAACTCGATAATTTTTTTGTTTACGCTAGCAAAAATTGTTCATACGGCATAAATGTAGATCGTTATCAATCTTATACCAGATATAATTTAATGTAAATAATATTCTATACGCTAATTTTTCAACCCAATTGCGTTGGCTTTGTATTTTACGCTTTAAATATATGTTAAAGAACTCCTTAATTGTCGATCTCAAACTCTATATTATATACCATAAAATACATATATAAAAATGTCATAAAAGTCGATATTGTAGGACCAAGTGAGGTGATATACAAGGAATATTCCATGAGATACTCAATTCATCATCATTTTTTTCTCCTCTTAAATGTAGTACTTAACTTATTAACGTGTCTAGTCAATGGTACTCTAACCTTATCAATCTGTTTTTTTTATTACGATGTGAATTTATTTGCCACGTTCTTGAATTTGACTAGTAAATAGTAAGTATAAAAAAAAAAGACAAAAGAGAGAAGAAATTCATACAGACGATTAATTAATATAAAATGTGTATCTTTCATACATTTTTTTTTTATTATGATTATGTTTTATTGGTTTAATGTAAATAACAAGATAGACATTTTCTAGATCTTCAACAAATAAATTGTTCATGCATGTATTCTTTCTTTCCAATTTCCTCAGCTATTTATGTACATATTTTTTTTGTAGGTTGACGTTTTCGTTAGACACTTAACCTTATCTTAGGTGTTATCGTGTTAGGGGTCGTATTTGATAGGTGAGATGAAATAGATAAAGATATCTCATTGATTGAGATACTTTATGAAATTATTTATTTGATAAAATAAGTTAATCCTAGAACTAGATGTAATGCCACACACAAGATAAAATAATTTCATATAATATCTCGAAATAATTATTCTTTATCCTGCTAATCAAACAAGTCATAGTACCATTTACTGATAATATGGTCATGGAATTTGCTCAAACATCACATCATTTTTATTTAAAAGGCAAAGCCGATTAATCACCAGACCCATTGACACTGTATATTAACCCGTTTGTCTAAATTTATGTGACATTTTTTTTTCTTCGAGAATCAAATAGTTTAAATTTGATCGAGAATTTGCGCATAAAATTTCAATTTTAAAAAAAAGTACTATAAGTCACAATAATTGACAATTCAAAATATTTTAAAAGATATATGAGAAATTTACCATCAAAGATAGAATTATTTGAATCTCAAAATTTAAAAAGTGTCATATAAATTGAGACGGAGAAACTAGTTAGTTTGTATATGATAGTGTATATGTTATTTTGAGTTTATCTGTTGTTACTCCACATTTGAAACCAATATAGTTCTAAGAATAATCTAAACATATCAGGTAAAGGGACTAAAGCATAGATTTGAATTAATTGAAGATTAAATTTATTGATTCATATATTGCAAGGATGGAAATCAAAATTTATCAATAATTAGTAACCAAAAAGTACGAATATCCTATTTTAATTTTTAAATCGTCTGAACTAAATGGGCCTAGTGTCAGATGAAATGACTGGGCCATAGTTATTGGGCCCAAATTAATCAGTAGAGGTCCATAACAGCCCAAAAGTCACATGATAGGCCATATGTACCATTTTCCCCAAAAGATTTGAAATTTCCCTGTATATAAACCCACACTCTCCCGCTGAATAATCAACGCAAATCACACTTCCAAGTTCCAACTGTTCGACGGAGCAAAATCACAGAGAGAATTCAAATGTATTTACAAATTTGATTATACCTTCATCTGTTAGGGTTCTGTAATTGTTCAAATTGAAGTTTTAATTTCTCGAAGATTTCAATTTTTATAGTATCTGCAAATGAAGTTGAAGATGAACAAAGCATCGGATCTTAGCTCTATCTCTGTTCTTCCTCCTCATGCAAGGTAAAATTCTATCTCAGTTTCACGATTTCATCTCTTTGCATTGTATAGCATGAAATTGCGTAGCTCTCTGTGTTTCTGCGTTTTGTTCGCATGCATTCTAATTTGAATGTTTTGTGTGCGATACACATAGCGAGTTGGAGTGAGATAGAGAGAATTTTACTGTAAATTTCAGCTTCTTCGTGAAAATTTAAGGAGGAACTAAGCGCGCATCTCTCTGTTTTGCCTTTTCTTCGAATGTATATTGAAGATATTTTGATGTTTTGTGTTCTATACACACATATGCATTTGTATACATGTTACATGTATGTTTATATGGATAAGAGGGAGAGGTAGACTTTTTTCTGTAATATTGAGCTTTATTTTTGTGTGATGATGATATGAGAAGAACGCCAAGTGCGGAGCCGCTCTGTGTTTTCGCCTACTTCTCCGTGTTTGTGCGATTTTTCTCATACATTATACAGGTATTTTAGATGTTTTTGTGTCCGATATACACAAACTGTATATATACATATATATATGTCTATGAATGCATGAACAGAGATAGTGAGATTTTGAAATAATATTAATCCTATTTTGATGATATGAGAAGGAGGCCAAGTGTGGTACCAAGTGCAGCAGAGTCTTCCGTTTTCGGGAAAAGCCAACCATCACAGGTTCGGTCACAGCAGCAATCGCAACAATCCTTCTCACAGGGATTTTCATCTCAGCAAGCAATCTACTCTCAGTTATCACAGAGCTCTCTGGATGATTTTGTCCCTAATGAGCAAGTAATTCCTCCATCTCGCTCCTATCTCTTATTTATTCAAAGAGAAGTTGTTGATGAGATGTCATTTTGGTATACTATACAAAGGAACTGATTCATTTGGTGTGGAATTGATAATGATAGACCTCTAAAAATCATTTTTGTTAGCAACTTCTGAAGAATGCTTTAGATTGTCTAAAATGTATTTTGATGCTTAGCAATACTTGAATATGTTATATTGTAGATAATTGTTGCCTAGGTTACTTTTGAGTGTAATTTTGAATTAGTATGCTTTATGATGCTTGAAATAGATGAATTAAGCTTCTGACAATGATTTACTTTGTTAAATGTTGTGTCAACACACAACACTCACTTTATATGACGTATTTGATTTAAGTGTTATATTAGCGAGGCTTGAAAAAATATTGAAATTTAAGTATATTTGAATAGCTTTGAAAGTTATGAAAGTTGCATAAAAGATGAATGATGCCAATATTTTGCAAGGTCCTTAAATGGAAAGAGTGTCAAACAAATTGGGATGGAGGGTGAAGTAGATATTATTTATCATCTTTACTGTACTGGACAGTGAATCATAAATTCTGTTGCCGCATCTGGCAGAATGTTTCTTATTGGTATATGACAAAACAGGAGATTGTCACAATGCAGTTTGAAGTGGTTGTCGGCAGTTAGCGTAGATCTTCTTAGTGTTCATCTACAATTAGTTAACTGATGGACTCTTGACTTTTAAATTGATCATATGCCTTCTTGTTTTCAACTCTGCCCTGTGCCAGGGCACATAGTTCCATCAAACTTCCCACTTTATACATTGGAACTTTTCCTCATCGCAAACAATATGCTGTTATGGGAATTTTACATCTTAAAGCAAACAAATGTTGTAACTGTTAATAATTTTAATGCAGAGATTGGGTTCTCAAGAAAGAGAAAATTCAGCAAAAAGGATGAGCTGTTTGCCTCATATCAACTACACACGAGAAGAGACTCAAATGCAGTTATCAAAACCTTCGACCAATTATTTGCGCAAATGGTCAGTTCCTGAAAGCAAATGTAAGCCATAATCCACCACCAGAAGCTACATGCTCTCAACTTCTGTTTAAAAGTTAGGAAAATGTACTCCAGTTCAGCGCTTATTTGCAGCTGGAATCATCGGACTAAACATGTTTATCTAATTTTTCTGGACAGACCAGATTGAAGAACTTGAACACAAAATTGGAATGGTAGAGACTTCATTAAGCAGGCAAGGAATGATCTTAGATTCTATTCAGAGTGATATTATGCAAGTTAACCGGGGAACAAAAGAGATATTGATGGAGAGTGAGTATTCACTGCCCTTTTAATTTACGTGATGTGGCAAATAATTAGGAACTCCAAAGAGCCCATATCATTAGTCGACGAGTGTGGAGTTTTGTCTTGAGAAGACTGCTGGTCCGATTAAAACTTTTACTTGCAAATATTCTGGTGGGTGTAAAAAAAATGGCAACAAAATCTAAACACATTTGTTTTTCTTCTGAATTTTCTTTCAGTGGAAAGCTTACGACCGAAGTTAGTTTCTCATGATGAACTGTTGCAATTGATGGTAACTACAGCTTAGCTTCTCTGCCTACATCCAGGAATTAAGTGCCTGTTTGTTTTATCACATTTCCTAATCCATGTGGCATACAATATTAGAACAAGGAGAGGGAAGATCTGAAAGCTAGCCTGGAGGGGACCTTCAAATCCATGTTTGAAGAGCTTAGGGAGAACAAATATCAAGAGAACATCAGAGATCTCTTATCACTGCTTAGAGCTATGCCCAACAAACTTGAGATGTGCATTTTGCAACTTCAAACTGATTTGAGCAAGACCTTGGCTAAAGAGATTCAGGCATGTTGCATATTGAAACTGACTTTTTAAATTCATATTTAGGCTACCCTATGTGGTTGGATTAATGCTGCTTCATCTATATTCCTATTGCTTGCAGATAATTTCCCCCCGCCCAGATTGTCATGGAAAAAAACATGAAACCGCTCCAGTCGATCCACCAAAAGTACGTTTTCAAGAACTTTTTTCTCCAAATTCCATATGATTTGTATGAGTATTGAGTGTAATGAAGAACGCAATCAGAAGTCTTAGTGCATTTGAACATTTGTAGGTCATCAATGATTGTAGCCTTCCCCGTGAAGTGAAGTTTCTAAAGAAGTAAGTTCTCAAACTTCCTTCTCATCGCCATCACTGCAGCCTTAGTTTTGAAAATTTTAAGTAGCAATTAGTGATCAGTAGCTCTCCAGTATGCAAAGTTCATAGTCACTTGATGGATCTCTTATTATTTGCATCATTTGTGTGCAATATGCATAAGCGGTAGTCATTTCACAATGCCTCTTGAGATGTGTGCATTGACATTTGAGAACACTTGCGGCTGGGATACACTCTCTGTCATCAGGAACTACTTAGGTGACAAATAGATGTGAAGATTCACAGCATAGTGTCTTTTGATCCATATCATAACCAGAAAGTGAGTATCCCCATTTCTCACATTAGCTATGTGAAGGAAGAAAGGGAAAACAAAGGAAAGCACTCCCCTTATTCCTCGAAAGCTAGCCTTCATGATAAACCAAATGAAATAAGAAAAATTTAAGAAATTTGCTATAGCTTCAACAGAAATCTTGTAGATACTTGTTAACAGAGTTTTGCTGATATTTCTAACATTGAGCGACTTAATTCTTCATTGCTGTGCAATTACAAATCACCAAACATTTCTTTTCACTTCTGGTTCAACTATGAATCTCAGAGATCAGAAAACAACTACGCCGCCGAAGATTGAAATGGGAAGCTGGACTACAGTAAAAATTAATCAAACTTGTATGAAGCAGAAAAATCCCATCAGAAGTCACACACAGAATGAAGCATTTCAAAAGGTAACTCTCTCATTGTCCTTAAGCAAGCAAATGTTTGTTGAGTTATGAGCAACAGTTGCTTCCTTTGTATGAAATGGGAAGCTGGACTACAGTAAAAAATAACCAAACTTGTATGAAGCAGAAAATTCCCATCAGAAGTCTCACACAGAATGAAGCATTTCAACAGGTAACTCCCTCATTGTCCTTATGCAAACAAATGTTTGTTGAGTTACGAGAAACAGTTGCTTCCTTTGTATGAAATGCGAAGCCTGGACTACAGTAAAAAAAATAACCAAACTTGTATGATGCAGAAAATTCCCATCAGAAGTCACACACAGAATGGAGCATTTCAACAGGTAACTCCCTCATTGTCCTTAATTGTTGAGTTATGAGCAACAGTTGCTTCCTTTGTGGCATGAAACATCCAAAAAAGAAACAATGGAGTTTTTAGATGTTGTATTTATGATATGTCATAGTCCACCATCTCTGAGGCCTTCAAGTTGAAGTAACAAAAACTACTTTGTTCAGCACACCACATTTTTTGATAACTTGAAACTGTGTCATCCTTATTCTCAGACTGAGAACTGGCTATCCATTTCAGGAAAGGGGACATAGAATTACCATTGAATCTGATGAGGATATTGACGCGGGCTTTTCCTGCTTGCTTGAAGAAAATGGAACAGGTAATTTGCACTCCTTGCTTGCATCATTCATTTTTGAGAATTTCATGATAAGCAAAGTGATTCTACATCCTGTAATTGATCAATGTGCTTATTGACCCATGCATGTTGAACTTATCTAATGAATTCAAGTTCTATTTAGATGTATATCAAATTATATCCTATATCTCAAGACTGACTACTGACAAGAATGACTTTTCCATACTTCTAGTCAAGCAGAACGCCTAAGATATATTATATGAAATCAAATACATTAGGTAACAAGTCAGAACATGTCTAAAATCCTGAAGAATCTGTTACACTCCATACTATGAAGTTTTTCTCAAACCAAAGAGAAACTGATAGCTCTCTCTTCCCTTTGCCTGTTGGGGTACAGTAGGGAATTTGAACCTGTTCTCAGGTTTAGTGTCCCGAGGGATCTTGTTTATTTTCTCTGGAATAGTCTCATTTCGAGTCTGTCTAAAATAAGAAATTTTGAGCATCATAACTGCAGCAACAAGTGTTCTTTTACACAGACTGAAACAATCAATCGTATATTTTTTTTGTCATTTGCAAAGATTTGCGTGCTTAAACTTGTCTTTCCCTTAGAAAACCCAGGGATTTATCCACTAGATGATGCAAAGGAAGAGAGTGCACGCATATTAAGGAAAGCAAGGAGGCGAAAGAGAAAGCATTTTAACACTATCATTATAGATTGAAGGTACACAGTGAATTTATAATCTGCTGAATCAAGGTCCTGTGATTTGATAAGCAGTAAAAAATGTATTATTGATTCTTCTGTCTTTCTTTAGCCGATTATAGGACATGTTTGCTATTTGACTTTTCATTATTATTAGAAAATCCACGACTGACCATTACATAGCAAGCAAAATCTGTGTTGCTGCTGCAATACTCAGTCTTAGGTGATTGTATAACGAGATGTCAACAGACTCAGCACCATAAGAATATGTAATGCACTGGGATTATATAAGCAAAATGATTACGATGTTTTAAATTTTGAATTGCATAAAGTTGGCTGGTTAGATCATTGCATCTTCTGTATACAATGTTTTATTAGCTAATGAGAGTAAATATTATGCTAGTAAATTTTTCAGCGTGTGATATTATACCATGATAGAAGTATATAATATGGAAAAGAGAATCCTTTTCAACTGTGCTAGAGAACTTAGAAACACCTAGTTGAGAATGAAAGCATTTCTACCAAGGGAAAAAAGGAAGGTCGGAGAGGTTTTACTTATTCCTGGACTTGGATGGTCAGTATTTATTCTTGTTTGCTCATAAGAATCTATAGATCATCCGTCATGTTCCTTGCCTGTTGCGTTTGGTGTATGTTAGGTTCCTTATTGACTTAGTTAAAGTTCAGCCTAAAAAATATTCAAAAAGAGAAACAAAAAAATGGCTTAGTCTAAGTAGCATAGGCATTACTAGCCACATCGAATTGCACTCGTGGTGTATTTTTATTAATGTAATTAAGAAGCATGCTCAATACAAATTCTCTACAAGAGTCATGCGTGGGTTGCTTCTTCTTTTTGAATACCATCCAAAAGTCCAAACAAACTTTCGTTGGCTGTAATAGGAAGTTTCCCTTCCTGCAGTCACCTACTATGCCTCCATACATGACTGTAGTCACTTTTGTAAGTTGAACTAATTTTCAGGACCCACATTTTAATTGAGACAAATTAAACTTTTAAGCATCCTAATTGCTGTTCTTACTCCTTAATTGTTTCAATTTATGTGACATAATTTGAAATGTAGATTTTTAAAATGGGATATAAAAAGTAAAAACATCTCTCCCTGGCACCAACGGTGAGTACGGTTATTGTTAGGGCTTTAGCAGGTCTCATGATATTAACATTTGTAAGATTATGGGTAAACTGAAAAATGTAAAAGTTAATTGTTTTTAAATATAGAGTTGTGTCATCCTTCTTTACATTAGGAGTATATGGTTATTTATTCATTTAATTTGACTTTCTCAACTCTCATTTATCTAATTAGGCAAACAGCGGACTTTAAGTTTAGATTACTTCCACTTTATTCTTATTCATGAAGGCTTAGGCTTTGAAAGTCTTTATGTTGACTGTTCAATCATCTTTATGTAGTCATGGTTCTTGCCAGCTTTTCATTTTTCCCAATCTAATTTGTTTTCTCTTGAATAATTGTTAGTTGAAATATTTGTTTAATCCAATTGCTATATCCGTCTTCTATTTCTGCTACATATAAAAACCAAAACAATGGTTTCCTTGTGGCCTGCAGAAAGGGAAAGTAGAAGGGATGACAATTTCTGATGATATCAGAACGCACTATGAAATTGTATACCAAAATGCATGCTTACATATTTTTTACATTATTGTTACGTACAAGCTTCTTTTAGGACCAGTAAAAACTTAAATAATTGAGGGAGAAATCAGAAAAGTAGAAGAAATGAGATATTTTGTTAGTAGTACTATAACTCAAGATGGACCTCCCTGCGATCCAGTTTTTAGTAATAACATTGGGGGAAAAAGTAAGAAAAAAAAAAAGGAGAAAAGAAGCACCTTTACAAAAGATAGGTTTAGGTCCATAAGGATTGATCCTTTAATTTCACTTTTTCTAAAGAATTGAAGTGCTTTTGATCTGTTCTGCTGCATTATTCACTTGGGCATATACACAAATTTGCACATGCTTTGCTCCCCATGTGTAACTTTTTTTTAGCTTGGTTGAAATGATAAGTTTGTCTAAATTAGTCACATTTTTAATCTTCATTTTTCTTAGCTAAAAGCCTAATCTTTTTGTCAATTACACTGACTTTTACCCCTTTTTATTAAATCTGTAAAACTCATTTCTAGGACTAGAAAGTGTTTAAAAAAAAAAAGAAAAAAGAACTTTGTTGGCTTTGGGATATATAATGGACATTATATGTGGGGTTGATGGTGGGAGGGTAACAGGGTTCCTGTGTTTGTCCTATTTTGTCTTCATAATGGTGAGTTACGGAATGTCTCATTTCAAGTACTCCGTCCCGTTTCCTCCAAGCATATCATAAATTGAGTTATTTGATATTTGTGCTTGCGGGCATAGTTAGAATTAATTTGAATTGTTTTTGTCAAAAAATTATATATAAAGTTAATATTTTGAATTTAATTAGTGAAAATCATGATTTTGTCATTATCTATGTTGTTGGAGGTAGATAATATTTTTTAAATTAGTGGAGCCTGGGAGGTATGCACTAATCACAATTATATAAAAAAAGAAAATAGAAAAAAGTATTCCAACCCTTTTCAAATATTAATAGTTTTGGACTTTTGGTTAGTTAAATTTATCTCAAAATATTTGATATTTGAAATATAAGAAATTATTTACTTACTTTTCTTTTTTCTTTTAAATTTTATATAAAAAGGGTAGTTTAGACACATAACTTCAAAGGTTATTAAATATCTTCTTTATCGAGTGTACACGAATATTAAAAGACAAATTATGAGCCGAAGGTAGCGTATTTGGCCATGTAAAGATTAAAAGGACCCTTGATGCTTGAATTTTATTTTTTCTTCAAAAAATACTATAGTTCGTGTATTTATTAATCCAAATAGATATTGTAATCATTAACCAATATAAAATACAAGCGAATGCTTTTTGTAATCTTTATATAATTTTGGTGTTCGAATCAATTTACATGCATCTCAATTAATTTCACATAATATTTATCATCTTCCACCATCAATATGTATGAGATAATTATGTCTGTCAAAATTAGGACATAATAAAATGTTTCTTTTTTGCCTTTGCTCTAATTTGAACCTGAGACTTTATGTTCTCAATTCACTTTATTGAGAACTGGCGAATGTTCAATTACATTAGAAGAATTTGATTCTGATAATTTTTGTAATTCCATCGAATCACAACCACCCTGTCCTACTAAGCACACACTTGGTAATGAACTTGTATTTTTTTTTAAAAATAATGTCATTTAACAAGTTGATTTGTCAATATTGTCATCAAATCCTATATATAGATAAAGAAACAAAACCTGAGGTTTTTTGTTGATTGTTTAATTATGCTCCTTTGTCTTGTGTCCTTTTCATTTGTCACTTTGATCACTACTTTAACCTTGGATTTTTTGCTAAGGAATATGTGTTGTAAGCTAATTTATTTTAAAATATAAACATACATGAACAGTAAAATATTTTTAAAAATTAAATAGCCCCATTGAACTAATTTTGATAGCGAAAATCAAACTCCGAATCAAGAAAATGATATATGAATATTTGAAATATGTATCTTATAAAATTAATCGAAATAGATATAAATTGGTTCTACCACCATAATTTTTAATTAAAAGAATGACATGAGGGCACACTTTGTGGGTGGCAGTTGTTAGGCAAAGTTGATTTATTTTAAAAGAAATCATCATTCCATTTCATCCTCTATACTTCCAACTCATAATATCTAATAAACTATTCTATTAAATTTGACCGTTCTTGCGAGGCACATGCCGCTTCGTTTATTTTCATTAACATTAATACGTTTGAATTTGAAGATACATTTAAATATTAAGATTCATTCAAATTAATCAGTCACTTAATTACGTTACTATATTATTTTTATTTATACTTTATTCAATTTTTTATAAAATTTCTCAGGATGTCTGATGTTTGATTAGAATTATGATAAATTTGGATTTAAGATATTAAATATAATTCATCCTTCAATATTAAGCTACCAAATATAGGGATAATCCTTCTAATCTTCTAATAAAATAATGACAATTACTAGAATATTGTAAAAAAATTGGAATTACTTATGTTGTCCATGGCATGAAAACAACCCCACCTCAAAAGTATTATAAGAAAAAAGTCCCAAAATACGATGATATCATCAGATAGTGCCAATACCTTAAGAAATCAACTAAAAATGAGAATATCGGACAAAATTTAAAAGAAATGAAAAAAATCCAAAAAAATTATTTCTTTTGGAAGAATTAGCCATCCACCCACCCACCTACCTACAAGTCAAGACAAGTTAATTAATTAAATTAATAATACTTAATTAGTTTAGTTTTGTCATAATGTTATTTATGATCGTTCCCCACAACATAAACTATTATTTCTTTTCGTGGAAAACCATATAATTGAAAAAAAAATATTGGTTGGGAAATAACAGTACCAACCAATTCTTGATAACTTCATTTGAACAGCTTCCCAACGAAGAATCTGATACTGAATTATATTAAATAAAAATTTTCTTCCTACAATACATAATTAGGCTTGCCACGTGTCTTTCCATTAAAATTAAGAGCAAATCTGTATAAAAATATAATGAGAGGTGTATATTTGAATCAAAAATATAATGAGGAGCTATATGACCTAAAATAAATTTATATAAGAAACTCAACGAATGAATGAATTAAATTGACTTGAAATTAAAAATTTATGACCGAAAGATTCATATGCAAGTAATGTCAAACTCTTTAAACTGCTACTCCAAAAATTAAAAAAAAGAAACACTATTTAAATGATTTTTTTGGCAAATTATAAAGTATTATAGTGTCGTTGACCTATGGCTTGTATTTTAATTCTTTTAATTTAATATTGGAACATTAATAAGTAAAGAATATATCAAACAAATTTGAACCTAGATTAATACCTATCTTGGACTAAACCATTTAACCAAATAAAACTGGCTTGTTAGATGCCGATTAGGTAAATTTAATGAAATTGCACAAAATTAATCATTTGTTTTAACAAATTATTTTGGTTAGATATGAAAGTGAATGTCTCAGAGTACGTAGTTCAATCTTGAAAGTCACAATGACACGTTTTTGGATTAATTAACAAGCTATATATGGATTGGGTAATGCTAAATGGCCAGAAAATTTGGCCAGAAATTTAAAAAATCTATAATATTTTTTTTATTTTAAAATAAACTGATATTTTTTTCATTTTTTAATTAAAAGTTATTAAAGTTAAAAGGATAAAAATATATATTTAAAAAGGTAAAATTACATA